ATAGCCAGTTGTTAACTGAAAAGAGTTACCTTATTCTCTGGATTTTGAGGTATTGCAAAGTTTTCAGCCTTTTATCCTGACACCTTGTCCTTAAGTGTTGGCTTAAAATGTCATATTTAGAAAATACCCCATGTTGCTTTTTAGGGAGTTAAGAACATTTCTACTTTCAACTTTAAAAAAATTATTACTATTATTTTGTATGTGTGTACCATCAAATCAGATCTGATTGGTACAGGAGGTGATTGCCCCTTTTTCTCCAGCAGAGCATCTGGTGGATTTGAACTGCATACCTCTGGGATTGCAGTGCAACTTTTTGCCACTCGGCCACCAGAGCTCCCTTATTTCCAATTTTTTGAGAAAGCACCATACTGCCTTCCACCGTGGTTACGCCATTTTACTCAGCAATTCCACTACTGGGAATATACCCTAAAGAAACCAGAACTGCCACCCAAGCAGATATATGTACACCCATGTTTATTGCTGCTTTGTTCACAATAGCAAACAGCTGGAAACAACTCAATTAAGTGCCCATCAACAATAGAATGGATAGAGAAGCTGTGATACACAATGAAATAATATGCTGCATTGAGAACTCATGGAATATTATACAAAATGGGTGACCCTGGAGGGCATTATGCTGAGTGAAATATCTCAGTCACAAAAGGACAAATACTGCATAATGCCACTATTGTAAAAAGGGACTGACATTGGGGTTGGGGTAACCTAAGAAAAGAGGGGATAAATAATGTATACTACATTGAAACAGATGAGGGAGAAGACTGTTTAAAAGGAATATAGGATTAGGTTTTATTTTCATGACAAGAGTACAGAAAAAGAAATGCATAGTAAAATGGACTGTGGACTTGGAGGGGATTATATAACAATGAAAGAATTTTTTTTTCTTATCAAAGAGAAAAACGAACTGAAGGGGAAGCGTTGGCAGGGAGGAAAATGTGCAGCATTGAATGAATGGAAAAATTAAAAAGAAAGAATATGCTGTCAAAAATTAAAAGAATGTTTGGTTTCCTTCTTGCATTTTAGTGATCATATGTTGAATTAAATAACTGTTTTCACTTGAGAGAGAGATAGAACACAATTGGGTGCGGGTCTCTGTCCCACTGAATTATGCCAAACGTCATAACAGTGCCTCACAAACCCCCAATACCAGCCAGTGACACCTTTTTGTATGTGTGTGTGTGTGTGTGTGTGATCATCAAAAGCAGGCTATTAAAGGAAAAATATTAGCTAAGTATTAGGGCGGGGTACATAGAGAAAGAACAAAGAACTTGGTATGAAGAGTAAGCAGATAATCCTGTGGAAGTCTTAAATATATTAAACTGATTTTTTTGTTTATACCAAGACCAGAAATACTGCACAGTTGTAGCACCAAAAAGAATGGTAACAGAAGGACTGTTACCCTGCAGCCAGGCTACTGGAGACCAAGGCCAGAGGCCTTGAAGACCCATCCCTTGTTACAGTTTTTCGGATAACTCCTAAATTCTTCCTCTGTCAGTCTACCAGGGAGGTGTGAGTGCTTCCTAACAGTTATCATCAAGATCCAGAAGTTCCCTTCATGTTTGTTCTAAATTTGCTTTTAGGGTTGGCTCCATGTACTTTTAAAAATTATTACTGGTTTCCTTGCCAAGTTCATATATATTGTTTCACACACATTCACATTGTGTTTCATGCAATCATTCTAACGAATTACATTTGATAAAATTAATCACCACTGGACCTTGTCTTTTCTACCGGGATCCTTCCCATTCTCCCCCTCTATCGCCCGCAAACTGTGCAACACTGTGTTTTTGCCCCTTCCCATCCTCAACCTTCCTTTCATGTACTTTTATGTACTGTTCCCAACTAATGGACAATGAGCCATTTTCTAGTTAATTTCAAACTAGAGTGCTTGAACTTAGCATGCTACCTTTTCCAAGGTCTTGCTTACCTATCAAAAAAAGGTTCCTTCAGAAGGTAAACCTTTACCAGCCACAAGACACTAGTGTGTGGCAGATTGGCAGTCCTACAGTCAGTCAGAGAGGGAGCAGAACTGAAGGTAGAACCTTCTCAGGACACTCGAGTCAAACTCTATAGAACACCCTGTGTGTCTATGCCACAAGATTCCCTTAACTGTGCTGGAGGTAGCATCACAAACCCACTTTTAATTTTGTTGAGGTTTTGTTCAAAAGTAGTGCTCAAAGCCTTCAACAGCTCTCATTTCAGAGCAAGTTTTCTGTATAAATGGCCACACTCAGTGATGGGCACCTTAAGATTTGTTCCAGTTTGGCAGTTGTAGCTTTTAGCTGATCATTTGATATGTACTCATGCTCATTATGTTTTCCTTGAATTTTTTTTTATCAACACTAATAAACCTTTTTCTAAAGTTATCTCTTAGAAAGTGAGGTACAGAATCCAACTTTATCATATTCCAAGAAAAGATGTATAAAAGGAAGATCATCACCCACCATATAACTAATGCATTATTGGGGGAAAATGAGAATGGGAAAGCAAAAGAAAAGCCATATGTATATTTGTTGAATGAAGAGGCAAAAAAAAAATGTATTTTGGTTTCACTATCTAAAATGTCGTATGGAGCTCTGGTGACAGAGTCCTTTGGAAGTTGTGCTGTTGACCCAAAAGCTTTACCAGTCTGGTCATCCCAAATCTCGAGCTACTTCATAAGAAAGATGGGCAATCTTCTCCCATGCAGTTTATTCCCTTAGGAACTTAGTAACGTGCATCGAGCAATATTTGAGAGCAATGAGTTTGAGTTTTTCTAATTAAAAATGTCACTTGAATCTTGTGATTCTAAAAGCCAAATTACTTTAGATCTCTCTCTCTCTCGCTCTCTCTCTCTCTCTCTCTCTTTCTCTCTTTCTATCATCTATCTATCAAGAGATGTGTCATTTCCTCCCTCTCCTCCACCTCTTCCCTAGCCCACTTTGCTATGCATGTCTTATTCTGGACAGTTGTCATACAGATAATACCTAATCATATATCCCTTTTAACCAGTTCTTTCCTTCCTCTGTTTCCATGCAGTGTTCATACATTTCTTAGTTAGGTATATTTTTAAAATCATTGCTCTCTAGAGAGTTGCCAACCCAAGAAAAAATAACAAAACAAGCAGCATGTAAATACAGAATGTCATTTTATAGGATATCACATTTTATTGTTGGTTTGTTTAACAAAGAATGCAGCTTATTTAGAGCAGTAACTTGTTGACTGTGAATTGTTGAAAACAGATATCAGTCTTAAAAATTTCAGGATTATATACCCAAGTTCCTTATTAGTCACACAGTTTATACTGACAGAATCAGTCTGATTGACTAGGAGATCTGTTATTGTTGTTAGATACCTTCAAGTTACATGCAACTTAGAGTTACTCTATGTACAACAGCTCTGAGCCCTGCTCTATCCTGAGCCAACACCTACCCCATTACCCTAGTCACTGAGTCAAGCCATGTCATCCAGAGTCTTCCTCTCTTACTCTGTCCCTCAACCTTTCCAAGCATGATGTCCATCTCCAAGGACTGGTCCCGCTTTGAAACATGCCCAAAGTATGTCAGGCAAAGCATTAAAACCTTGCCTTCAAGAAGCATCATGGTTTCACCCCCTCCCAGATGAACCTGTTTGTTTTCCTAGCAGTCCATGGTATATTCAGTACTCTTATCCAGCACCACAGCTCAAAGGCATCAATTCTTCTTCTATCATACTTAGTCACCCTCAGAGCTGCCGCAAAGCTGCTGTCAAATTGACTCAACCCCATCAATGGCAACTTTATGTAAAATAGAATGGAATGCTGCCTAGCCCTACTTCATCTCCATGATTGTTGGTCTGTGAGAGTCCATCGTGGTGGATATTATGTCCATTTATTTCATTAAGGGCTTCACTCATTTTCTCTGCCCTCCTAACTATCCCAAACATGATATTCACTTCTAGCTGTTAATATCTATTAAATTAGCAAAATTAGGTTTATTATTTCAAGAAAGGCCTAGTAGACATCTTAAATTTCTTACCAGTAATAAATTTCCCTCTTGAGTGAGTTTAACTTACAGTAAAGCTAACAATTCACAGATTATAGAAGATGTACCTAATAAGATGATTTGGATGATTAAAAAAATGGAATAAGACCTAGATTTGTAATTAGAAAACTTAGGGTTGCATCCATACAATTGTTTTGTTTTTAGTTCTGGCCAGTTTTTAGAGTTCAAATTTAGGGTTTTGTGTCAGCAATAAAATGTAAATAAAGGTACCATTTTTTTTTTTAAATGAAGAGGATATTTTAAGTTTATCCCATCATCTTTGTGATCTACTCTGTACCTTCTAATTTACTGCCCCCAAAATAACGTACTTGGGGAGATGTCCAACTTTGGTGATGTTTTGTGAAATGTTAGCTTGGTACATACTAAGATTATATGTAATAGACAAAAACTGCTACTATTCTTTATGCCCACACCTCTAGCTTACTCGAATTAGTATTGAAATTTCTGTGAATACTTATTTATTTATGCAAAGAAAAGATTTTTTTTTACTTTGGTTAAAGACATGTACACAAATGTTCTTCCCTAAAGAATACAAGGTTTAAGTCAACTACAATTAATTGACTTTTTCAGATTCTATCATTTCTAAGCATAAAAACAAAAATATATTCGTGAAACTAGTATAAAAAACCAAACTCCTTCTATTTTCCTTTCTCCTGTTAATGTTCTTCCACTAATTTCACTACCTTGAAAAACTAGGCAGCATAAACAGGATAATGCTATAAAATAAAGTTATTAGAAAGAAAAGATAATCTGTGAAATGCTTTTCTCCCCCTCACTAGTAGAGGCTATAGTCAGAGTAAACATGTTTAATATTCTTTATCTCAATGCAAATGCAAACAAAAATGTGCTTTGAATTCTTGGATGGAGAAAGAAGAAATAAAGGTAACCATCATCTCCATTTTGGCTTATTTTTCTGGAAAGAAAGGTGATACTGTTGAGTACGTGTGAGAACAATTCTGATTACAGTCTGGTTAAAAAATGTTGTTCTGTGGTTTGGCTTCTCAATTCTCGTTTTTCTCTTGGAATCTGTTCAGGGCTTTCATATCCTAGGTTGATGTAGAATCCATTCTTGTTGTCACCTGAATAGTCTGTCCTGTTTCTGGGCGGCCAGCCTGAGTCCTCTGCTAACTTTCTTTGCCAGTTCCTATATTGACTTCTAGAGTGGAATCCAAATTCTTTCTTGATCAACAACCAGAGTTCTCGATTTTGAAGGATGGCATCCTGGAAATTCAGGTAGAAAAAAAAAATAAATTATCAAATGTTCATCTACTTCCCCTGAAAGCCAATTTGCTTTCAGCTACACTTTGCTCCTCTGAAATGTGTTTTTTGTTGTTGCCTCTGCCATAACTTTTCTCCCTCAGACACTTGACAACTTTCCTCATATTTTATGTTGACAAAGGGAGTGGGGAGGGAGGGCTGTGTCCACAAAGACCTGAAAACAGTAACATTTAATTTCCACAAGTGCCTTGGCTAAATCCGGGCTACTCACTCACTTAAAATATTTCAGAGGCTGTTTTTGCTATCTGCTCTCCAAGATCTGTAATATATTTGGAAAAAAAATATTTCAAGGCCAGATTGAAAGGATTGCAATAATATGCTCAAAATCAAGAAAAGGAAAAAAAATACTATTAGTTTTGCTACTGCCACCTGCCATAGAAGACGTGCCAATTAAATGTTTGTTGAATGAATGGATAAGTACTAAAAATCAAATAGTATTTTTGCCTCTGTTTTTGAATTCTCTTTTATCCATTGTCCACATGTACATATAATTTTTACACATTTATAACAGGATTGATAACTCTGGGTGTCAAAGGTTTATCATTCAAGAGTGTTTTTCCTAGACAAAAGATTAACTATTTTATCCTAAAGTAATTATTGTATTAAAGAGAGAGGATGTTATGTGGATGAGTGGGACTATGTGAATAGGGCATGTTAGCTTATCCACAAGGGGTTTGTCAGTCTCAACACTCTTCAAGGGGATTGAATAGTCTTGCTATTGAATTGACCAAGCCAGAGTGAGAGACAGACAGATCTTCCCCTTCAAGAGGAAAGAGACCTCCTGCTATCACAAGAAAGGAAAAAAAAAGAAAAAGAAAGAAAAGAAACAAACCCCAAACTAACCCCAAACAAACAAAACCAACCAAAACCACCCAACACAAAACAAAAACAAATCAACAAAAAAAGCAGCCATGGCTGAAATAGAGACCTGATGTGAGATGAGACCTGGAGCTGGGGTGGAGGTGCCAATATTGGGAGGACTTTGTTAGACAATTGTGGGGGTAGGGAAGCCAATATTGGCAGGACTGAACTTGGGAACCAAAGGTGTGAAGGCGCAAAGCTTGAGAGTAAGGTGCCTTCATGTATATTCCAGGAGTTATCTTTACTGAATTCTGTTATTAATCTGGATTATAACCTTTTGACTTCTTCAATGTGGTTAAATGTGGTCTGTGAGCTATCGCATCAGATTTTGGGCCCAGCAAATTAGTACCATTGGTGTGAGGTGTGAGGTAACTAGAAAGAGGCATGAGAGCATAGGGGACATGTCTGACCCCATGGGAATTGGTTTTGTGTTATTGATGCTGTTGACAGGGCCAGTTCCCCTTTGTGAAGTTGGTAAAGATCAGATATGCCTTTCCCCATGTGGCCCTTGTTCTCTTTTACAATAACATTTTATTTTCTACTTTTCTTTTAACTGGCCACCAAATATGGAATTGTTACGTAGTCATAGTGTTCTTCGTAATTTTAATGATTGTATAGTATTTATGTAAATTTATCCACAATTTAAAGAGTCTCTATTTTTAGACACTTGAATTGTGTCTAGTATTTTGCCATTTTATGTGATAATTAGCTTCATACATGCAGATTTTCATTTTTTTGAGAATATAATTTAGAAATGGAATTCATGAGTCATAGTAAAAAAAAGCACGTTTTGTACACAATTACTTTCTAAAGAGTTTATATTGCTTTTCACTGGTGAAGTCACTTATAGTACAATTTTTAATGTCTACTTATCAGGACTGTTGAAGTTTAGTGCAATACAGTTGATATTTAAGAACCTAAGACAGTCCTAGCCAAATCTAGTGGGGAAGAAATTCCTACTTTTTCTCCAAGGACTCTTCTTAGAGTGAGAACCTTTTTATTATTATTTTTTAAATTTATGTGTATCTACCATAATCCTTAGTTCTAATACCTGAAAATCTCATGAATATATTTGTATACATTGTGAAAATTTTGGCTGTGTCCCTTTACCCAAGGAATTTATGAATCTGAAAATCAAAACAAAATATTCCATTAAGAAATAACAAATGAAGTCATTAATTCACTGAGTGAGTAAAGTCACTTAGTGACCTTGAGTAAATGAGAAATGGTAGAGGGGAAGACCTCTTAAGATAGAGATTGGGAAGAGTGAACAATAATAGCTCCTCTTCTCCTTAAATTAGAAAAACCTTCCAGAAGCCAGCCCCTATGCAGAATTTCACTCCAAAAGGTCTCAGTGAATTTTCCAGGTGGTAAGTCATCTGGCCTACTCTTATAGATTATGGAAAACACAAGAAAAGTATAATTGAATATATTCATGGAAGGCAAAATAAGAAATTCATACTTTGCTTTCTACTGTGAGGATACCAGACACCTTCTTATGCAACCTTCGAAGAATTTTAAATCCTCAAGGTATACCTCCCAAAGGAAAAATATATTATCCTTTTAAGAGACTGAAGTGGTTACTCAAAAAAATTGAAAATCTTTTGAGAATGAGACTCTTTATTTGTTTATTCCCTCAGGGGAAAAAAAATAAATCCACACAGAAATTACTTTACCTCTACAAAGAAGGCCACACAGAACTGAACAAGTGCTGTTACAAAAATAGAAACCTTCCATGATGTGATGATTGGGACAAACTGTTGGAAAAGAAATATCACCATTTACTTTGCATACTTTACAGTTTAAAAACCCCATATTTGTTGAATATGTCTTTTTTTTTTTTAACTTGGAAGGTGGGCATTATATTTTCTACTTCGCAGATGAAAAAAACTGAAGGTCTGTTCCTTGCCTGGGGACCCAAAGACAATAAATAGTGGCAAAATCCAGACTGACACGATAAGTTCTTGCCTGTCAGCCAGTGCTTCCTCTACCACCTGACAGTGGCTAACCAGTAAAACATTTGCAATCCCTGTATCACAGAGTTGAACAGAAAACCTTTGGAGCCGATCTGTGTCTTCAGTGTGTTATCTTTTCAAACAGAGATGAGAGAGTACACAATTAATCATTCATACAGTAATATTTCTGAGTCTCCAAAGCAAATCTGCTTACAAATCACTCTTTTTCTCTCTTTTCAGTAAAACTGGCACATGACTGGAACATAAGGGGGTGAGTAGTAGAATTGAAAGTTGATTTTAATTGAAACTACTGTATAATTTTTGAACAAATGTTCCAACTCTAAATCTAATGATTTGTGAAAGTCAAACCAAGCCACCCAGTTTAAGGGTTGAAGAGTATACATTGATTATGAACTACATTTTTTTGCTAAATATGAGACTCAGAACTTTCAGGGCTACATCATAACATGAGGGTCATAATATAGCGCTCTTTGGCTTTCCAGAACAGAAGGTGAATGACTGTCCTCTGTAGAGGATTAAAACCAGACTTTTATAATGTCTAAATTCTCACCTTTCATACTTATCCCTTTTCTGATATGAGTTATTACAAGAGGGCAGTGAGGATGTCTTATCTTTGCAATGTTATTATTGTTAGCTGCCACTGAATTGATTCCAATAAGGTTGATTAATTTTAAGTGCCAACTTTGCTATCATTCCCACTGGTTTGGTCAAATATTGGTCTAAGTCATTGTTCCATAATATAACTAAATGATGAATCATTTTCCATAATGTGATCTAATTATTCTGTCATATCATATCATGTCATGCCATGTACTGTAGAGTCAGAACTGACTCATAGCTGACCCTCGAGTTGGTTTTCAGAGGCAGTTAAGTGCTTGAGAGGAGATTGCCCATCTTCCATGGATCAGCTGAGGGATCTGAACCATGTGCTTTTGGTTTGGCAGCATAACTCTTTACGACTAAGCTACCAGTGCTCAGGTAATCTAATCAATCAATTGCAAAAGGAATTTGCTTATGTTCTGCCTGCAGAGACTAAACAGAATTTGCTTTAATTCTTCACACTCTGTCACCTGACCGATGCATCCTGAGAGAGGCCTGCAGGAGTCTCCAGGCTGCCACTTGTTTATGGATTTGGATTTGGATTTAACAACTCCCACAATCACATAAGCAAATCTCTTAAAATAAATGTATGTACACACACACACACACACACACACATGCACACACAAATACACCCCATTTTACTAATTCTATTCCTCTAGAGAACCCCAAGATTTTAGTGCTAAGTATATTCGGGAGCTCTATAATCTTTGATAAGTGAACGGATGATTTGGGTTTTAATTTCCAAACTGCTACTCTCTCCACAGCCCCTCTGCTCTCACCTACAGACATCCAGGCACCATCTAATTAATTTTTCTTAAATGCCCTGCTCAGGAGCCCACTCAAATCTCTTCAACTATTCCCTGTTGCTATAGGATAAAGTCCTAACTCCACTGGTGCCTTTATTAATCCTTTCCACCCTTTATACCGCATTTTTGTTCCTCATAGCCAAGCACACCGCTTCAGTTTTAACCAGTTTTCTAGGCGTTCTGTAAAGTAGATATTGCTTTTGTTTTTGTCTCTGCCATCCTACATTCTTTTGTATTTCTTAGACAAAAGAGACACTTGCTATCCCTCTGCTGTGTGTAGACTGTTCTCTTAATTGAGAATATCCTGACTACCCATCTAGTCAAATCTGGCCTATCCATCATGATTGTGAAGCCCCTGGGATAGGCAGGCCATTAGAAAGCTCCTCCTCTTCCCGCCCCCCTTCGGCGTTCTTATTTATTTCTTTAACACTTTGCTTTTTTCTCCCTCCCCTCCCCCTACCTCTACTTCTCTCAAGCTATCCTAAAGTTCACACCTTTTCATTTGGGTTAAAGAATTAATTTATGCAGAATAGTCATAATCCAGAAAGACTATATGATGTGCCAGGACGATGACCATATATCCAGTCTGTGTATCTCTGAATTTATCAGATTTTTTAAAATTTTTCAATTGATATTTTAGTGAAAGTTTACAGAAAACTTGGATTTCCATTCATTCACTGTTGCTCATTTTCCTCCCTACACGCCCACACTCCCAGTTAGTTTTTCTCTTTAAAAAGATTATTTTATTGTTGCACAGTTTCCTCCCTCCCTCCTGCCTCTCAGTCCACTTTGTTAGTTCCTCCTTCTAATATCTTCTCCAGGATTTGTATTTGGTTTTGCGTTGTTGTTTGTTTGTTTTTCCTTATTTGCACAACCTGTTAAGCAGGGATCAATTTAGGTAGACATCTCCTCCTTTTACTTTGTCATGGCTTGTTTTGGTAACAAACCACGACTTGGAAGTCAGGACCAGGCCTTTATTTTTTTTTCCCCTCCAATGACACAATGGAATTGTTCAAGAGTGAGTTCTAAACCTCTTGATGGATTTAATTTTCATCCACTGCACTCTGGGTCAGATAATGTCTCCTGAAACAAATTTTCTTATACTGAAAATTTTACATAAGCTTACTCTAGAAGTCTGCCTTTTCTTTCTTTTGACAACTACATTCTACTACATTCTAAAAAAAAGTTCTCCTGCATGCTTAACATATTAATCTTAGAGAATTATCACATTAATGCACTATATCAAAACATATCAGGTATGAATATGATAAATGAATCCAATTGCTGTGGTGTACTAATAAAAGGTTTGCATATGCCCTTCTAGTTAGAGGAATCCTGGTGGAGCAATAAATAGTCAAGGGCTCAACAACTAACTGAAAGATCAGAGGTTTAAAACCACCAGAAGCTGCAGGGAAGAAAAGACCTGCTGGAAGAATCTTCTGAAGATTGTTGTTGTTATCAGGTGCCATTGAGTCAACTGTGACTCATAGCAACCCGATGAACAACGGATCTCAACTTTGCCTATTCTGCACGATCCATAAGATCTCTTGTGTCCTTTTTACAATCACTTTATCAGTCTATCTTGGCAGGGGTCTTCCTCTCTTTCTCTGGTGGTGGATGTTGTGTTGTTCAATGCCATCTAGTCAGAAACAACCCAAAGCTGACTCTTCAGTGGATTTTCAGTTGCAGTTAATTGCAGGGGAGGAGACTACCCATCCTTCTCTTTTGGAGCAGCTTGTGGATTCGAATTATGTGCCTTTGAGATTGCAATGCAGTTTCTTACCACAAGGCCACCAGAGTTTACATCTTTTTTGTAAATATTACAATTTAGGAAACACTACAATTTACCATACCATACAGAGTCACTATCAACTCTCTGGTACATAACAGAAGCAAACGGGAATATCCTCCCAATATTTAGTGGTCAGAGGGAATATGGTAACAGTTGGTTTGCAAACTACAATTCCAATATAATCCTATTGTACACATGAGCCACTACAGACATGCAGATGGATAACACTTACCTCCATTCCATGGCGTATATCATAAATATCAGAAAAGAAAATGAAAATTGTGAGGGCTGTGGCAGACAACAGCAAAAATGAGAAGATATCTGAGGAAACACCAAATATTATTTTTACAATATTTAAAGAATGTTTCACATAATTTGGCACACATTAAAGAATCTTTAACCCAACTGAGTGTGGAAACTACAGAACAATAGCATTGATTTCACATGCAAGCAAGATTCTACTGAAGATTATCCAAAAATGACTGAAACAGTACATCAGTAGAGAACTGCCAGAAGTCCAGGCTGGGTTTAGAAGGGGTCGTGGTACTAGGGATATTGTAGCTGATGTCAGATGGATCTTAGCTGAAAGCAGAGAATACCAGAAGAATGTCGATCTGTGTTTCATTGATTATGCAAAGGCTTTTGACCGTGTGGATCATAACTGTGGCTGACTCTGAGAAAAATGGGAATCCCAGAACATTTAATCGTGCATTAAATATGAAACCTATACTTGGACCAAGAGGCGGTCGTCAGAACAGAGCAGGGCAACACTGAATGGTTCAAAATTGGGAAGGGGGTATGCCAGGGATGTGTCCTATCTCCATACCTTTTCAACCTGTATGCAGAGCAGATTATCCGAGAGGCTGGGCTCTATGAGGAGATGCATGGTGTTAGGATTGGTGGAAGATCTATCAACAATCTGCGTTATGCAGATGGCACAGCCCTGCTCACTGAAACTGAGGAGGACTTCATGCACTTACTGCAGAGGGTGAAGGACTGCAGCCTTCAGTATAGACTGAGGCTCAATGTCAAGAAGACAAAGATTCTCACCACTGGACCAATTGGTAGCATCAGGATGGATGGCGAAGAGATTGAGATTGTTCATAGCTTCAGTTTGCTCGGCTCCACAGTCAACATTCTTGGCACCAGCAGCCAGGAAATCAAAAAACGTATTGTGATGGGAAAGTCTGTGGTTAGGGACCTCTCTAAAGTACTCAAGAGCAACGGTGTCTCTCTGGAGACTAAGGTGCGCCTGATACAGGCCATGGTCTTTGCAATCACTTGTTATGCATCAGAGAGCTGGACAACGACTAGGGAGGACAGAAGGAGAATTGACGCCTTTGAGCTGCGGTGCTGGAGAACAGTATTGAATGTACCATGGACTGCTAAGAAAACAAACAGATTCATCCTAGAGAGGGTTAAACCAGGCTACTCCTTGGATGCAAAGATTCTGGGGCTTTGTCTGACATACTTTGGACATGTTGCAAGGAGAGACAGGTCTTTGGAGAGGGACATCATGCTGGGTAGAGTAGAGGGACAGCGCAGGAGGGGAAGACCCTCTACGAGGTGGATTGATTCAGTGACTGGGGTAATCGGGACGGGTGTGTCAGAGGCTATGTGATTGGCACAGGACAGAGCAGGGTTTAGGGCTGTTGTACATAGAGTCGCTATGAGTCGCAAACGACTCGACGGCACATAACAACAACAGCAACATTGAAGAATCAATTATCTCTGTTGGACAAATATGGGATATATTTTAGGAGGTTTTGATATGTCCTCATATGATGTAAAACATGTTCTAATGCTTATAAGATAAAGGTGGTAAGATAAAATCTTACCTTGGGAAACTGGGCAGAGCCAGAAGGTTGTTAATCAAGTAAATTATTATGGCATCTGTAGAGAATTTTGATCAGCTAAGGGTTTCCAGGTTTGTGGACATCCTGCAGTGACCAGTCCACCTAGATGGTCACCTAAGAAGCCCTGGGGAACCATCCCTTACTATTCAGGAAACCAAGAATGAATGAGTGAATACTTAGTCCTATTGGTTGTTGTGGTGGTGGTTATGTGTCATCGAGTTGCCTGTGTCCCGTAGTGACCCCATGTACAGCAGCTCTGAAGCCTGCCTAGTCCTGAGGAAGTCTCCTTAATTCACACATATTAACTCCAACTGCTCCAGTAACTGTATCAATCCATCTCATCTGGGGTCTTCCTCTCCTGTGCTGTCCCTCTGCCCTTCTGAGCATGATATCCTTGTCCAAAGACACGTGCCCAAAGTATGTGAGCTGTACTGGTAGCACTTTGGGGTTTTTTTTATTGTCTGCAGAATACAGTCCATGATTCTTTGATTGGCATCCAAGGCCTTCCACCATCTGTTCTCAATTGCCTTTCTAAATGGATCCCTGATTGTTCTCCCTATGTACAGTTGTTAAGCTAAACAAAACCATTCCCTTCTCAGAGACCCAGCTTCTGTGCTTTTGTTCACATAATATCCTGTGTTGATTATATTCTTCCTCTCGGTGTTGATATGTTCCAATTTTTTTTAACTTAAAAAGCTGAATTCAAATAAGGCATTTTATTTAAAAGCTCCTTAATCCTTCCTTCTTTCTTGTTGTTGAGTACTATTGACTTGGGACCGACCTATAGCTGGACTCTCCAGCAGATTTTTCAGAGCCAGAAAATCACATGGGAGAAGATTGCCAATCCTCCCACTGAGCACCAAGTAGACTCAAACTGTATGCCTTTGGGATTGTAGCTTCTTACAATGTTATATTTTGCATGAAGAATTTCCCATTCTACTTTGCATCTTGTTTAAAGTGTGTATTGGCTAAGTTATCCCCACTTCAAAATGACTTTCTATATGGTTTTCTGGACTCTGAATTAAATTAGTAGGTGAACAGCTACCATGACTGGCTGCTGGATTACAGCCTGGTTAAACTTCTTTTATTAGGGGCTAAATTTTGAAAATAGTGTCTCACAACTACTTTAGTTTTTAATTAACTGGAATTATCACCTTGAGAAACAAAACAGTTATTTTTAGTGGGTATGTCTATGAAATATATGCTTTCTAAAATCCTCAAAAGTTATAAAAAATAATGTTTTCTCTTCTGCTATCCCAACTCTGTTGAGATCTAATCCAATTACCTGTTCGCAGCAGGTTTGAAGCCAACAAAGTTTTTCTTGTTGCCTCTGAGCACTTACATCCATCTTCTTATTCACCCATTTATCACTTTATGCACTGAACTAGGAGCAGCAGGGAGTTAACACACAGAAACTAGAAGATTGAGTGTTTGAGTACACCCAGAAGTACTCAGGAGAAAGGTCTGGAGATCTACCTCTGGAAAATTAGCTATTAAAAACCCTACAGAACACAATTCAGCTCTAACACACGTGGCACCACCAGGAATCAGGATTGACTCCTGGCAAATGTGAGAGACAGTAGGTTTTCCTCAAGGAGAATAGCCAAGCTTGTGAGTGATATAAATCAGAGAGAAGGAACATGAGCCATGCAACTCCCAGAATAAAGCAGTGTGGATAACTTAGTTATATAAAGATCACAGGAGATGCTTGTGCAGATTTTTAATTTCTTTCTTGTTTTAGAGTTCAAGGGACCCAGAGATTTGACAGGAAGAGAATGCCACAAATGTCCATGTTGGTAATGGGCTGATACTCAATGTCAACTACTCTGAGTGCTGTGTATATAATCTGTCTGCAGGCTAATGATCTGAAGAGCAGGCTGAGTCAGTGCACAGATGAGCAATGTGGTAACAATATCAGTAGCAAAGAAGGCCTTCTAATTTAAAATTGATTGAGAAATGTAATGAAGAACTAAAGTGCACATTGCCTTCCTCAGTTAATTGCCATTGATGAGACAAGCAACTTTCTGCTGACACAGGTGATTTGGATAGGCAAATCTTGTACAGGTGATTACAGCTTCTTACCAGATAAAGACAGAGTTAATGAAACTTCACATATCTACTTCCTTAAAATTTTAGTTTATACCTTTTCTACCATTGGTCCTTGTAGAGTTTCTATCAAAGATTACTAGAAGAGTAAATGCTTCCTTGCTATATTAAAATTAAACTAGTGATTTCTTTTAACTGTAGTTTGAAGGATTACTGACTTGTAACCCTGAATATATGATTATTATAGATCGACATTTGTTGTCAAGTTTGTTCTTAAGATTTTATTAATTTAAAATTTTATTTTGAATACTTGGCATAGGAGTTTGAGCTTATCTATAACCTCTGGGGGCATAAAATGTAATAAATTGTGCTGGTAACCATGTCATGAGTTCAAATCCACCAGCAGCTCTGTGAGTGAAAGACGGGCAATCTCCTCTCATTATGATTTACAGATTCAAAAGCCCAGTGTTCTTTGCTTGTGGATGTCTATGCTCAAAATTTCAAGCTGAACAGAAGATCCTTCAGCAAAAGCGACATGCTTGTCCTCTTAGAGTACTGGCTTAATATGGATGGGCAAATCAGAAATTGGCAATCTAAGAGGGGTTTATTAGAGAATTAGGCATGAAGTAGCTAACTTTCATGCTTTCATGAAAGTAGTTCATAGTAAATTGATTGATTGTAAGGGCAGAAAACTCACCATAAAAATGAATGAAATGTGATGTAAATGAAACACTGTGTGACAATGTAGGGACAATGAACATGCATGAAACAAAACATATATAAATGATAAAAATATTAATAAAAAACCTCAACGAAGGATCACCATCTAAGTTGGATGGAGTATACTTGACAGAAGTGATTGACTGACAATAATATAGCTTTGTTGTTTTTGTTATTTACCATCAAGTCAGAACTGACCTTGCACTGTGTTTTCAGAGGCAGTAAAATGGTCAGAAGGAAACTGTCCATTTTTCTCCCAGGAAGCAGCTGGGAGACTTGAAATGGGCGCCTTTAGGTATGTGGTGCAACTATTGAGCCACCAGAGCTCAACCTAGCTTTAACTAACTTAATCTATATAAACAGATTCAAGCTACTATTAAAATTAAACTGCTAGTCAAAGACATGTATCCTTCTTATAAAGTGTGTTTTCAATAACAAAAGCATAGAACTAGAAGAAACAAACTTAATAAATAAAATAAATATTAGTTAAAAGAAATAATAAATTCTTAATAAATTAACACAAATTATATTGAATTTTTGTGGCTAAAGCTGAAAGTATTATCAAATAATATATATATATTAAGCTAATAAAGAAGTTTATAGGAAATATAAGATTAGAGCTAGATCTTGGCATATGCTCAAAAATATTAGTGGACTATCTAAAGAGAAAAATAGGGCCAAAACAAAGTTAATTTAGGT